TCTTTATTTACCATAGATATCCTGGTTCCTGGGTTTTATCTTTGGCGGGGATCTCCCAAACAGCCTGGGGATCTCCCAAACAGCCCGGGAGATATCCTATTGTTCTGCTATAGAGGAGGTTTCTGAAGACTGTTAGAGGCGTAGTTTGTACAGGTTTCTGTGTCAGTAGTTCTTTTAAACACGATATGCTATAATAAATGTAAAGCTTTAGAAAGTGGTTTTATCAAGTTGACTGTTCAAAACAAATTTAGCATTTATTATTCATACTAAACTGATGAATAGGGGATTTCGATTTTGACAAGACATATTCTAATGATGTAGAGAAAATATACGTGTATGCTGAGCGGAACCTTAGCTTTATACAGATACATGTGACCAGAACATATGAGACTTTGAATGGCGTCAATAAAAAATACTATTCTGATTGGTCATTATCAGAAGTCACACTGTGAAAGTGTTTGAACAAGTTGATAGAGTTCAATATCTCACTGGCAATGTAATAAATAGAAAATGTCCAACTAAGAAAAAGCAGTCAAGAGACTGATAGGGATGTGGATGACAGGGACGTGGATGACTTCTGGCTATTGAATGGTGCAATTCAATAAGGAATCTTGGCTGATATTTGTATCCTTCAATTTTGCTGGTTTTTCCAAAAAATACACTTTAAAATAATGAATAATGACTGTTGTCTCACTAAGTTACATATGTTATCATAAATATCAGTTTTCTGAAAGTTATAAATATTGGAGAGTACTCTCGAGGCTATGTGTGGGAACTCTTCAATGCATAATTGTGCTTAACATTTCAAACATATTTTGGTGTAATTTACAAGAAATATTTACAAGAAAGCATGTTAAAATCAGATGTTCAAAACATGAGACTTTATCATTTCAAAGGTAGCCTTGTAGAGTTGTACACCACGTGCTATAAATATGCTGGCGCAGGTCTTGAATGAACGTGTACGTTCCTAAGTGTCCAATTTTGTTTACTCTTTCTTTACGTCTCAGTGTTTGGTTGGTCTGCCCTTACTATATACGGAGCACTGTACATCCTTTACCTTTGTAAAGGTACATTGTAGCTGTGCACCTCACACTCACGGGAAATCCTTTGAGTGTGCAAATATTGTGTGCTTTTGTCTTTGATAGGGAGGTGAGGATTGACATTTAATTCTTTTCTCAATGTACTTTTTAAAGTACTTGAACGTATCCCTGTACAGCACCTACAGATTTGATACAAACTGTTTTGGCTGTGTATCCAGGCTTATCTCCTAGAGAGTAGAGACTCTCTCCATTTATTATACTTTCCTTTATCTTGAATTAAACAGAATTAAAACACAGGTGTATTGTACTGTATGAGTCATATTCTAAATTCTATTCTATCTATTGCTTTGGGGAAGTACAGATTACTGTTTTAGATTTTGTTCTTGGAAACGTAGGAATTTTCTAAATTTAAATATTTTTTCATATTTGATAATAGCTATGTTAAAGTTGGTCCTGTTTCATTACTTGGCTGGTAAAAAGTTTACATAAGCTTAACAGTGCTGTGGTGTTATCAATAACTAAATGGGCGCCATAGAAACATAAGCATTTAGAAATTGAAAAACTGATATTTTCATCAACAGTTTGAAATGTTGTCTTTGATCAGTGAATATCTGCGGCAATAGTGATTTGTATAATTACTTGATATTCATCAATTTATTATCAGGAAACTCACCATGATTTATTATAAAAATGCATGTTATTTTAAGTTATGGTTTTAGACATCATATTAGAGGGAAGGTTATGAAGGTAAATAAACAGTACAAATGAAATCTGACATCTATTTTTAACAATATGGTAAAAATACAGTAACATGTGTAAATTATATAATGCCTACAGTAAAATCAAAAGTACCTGGGTAGATAGATAATTATAAAACTCTGTTCTGTATGACGTACATGTATGAAGTGATTTTTGAATTCCTACAGCATTATTTTAGTGTTTACATGTAGACGTAGTTGTACATTCCTGTCTGAGGAGAAAAATATGTACAGAAATGTGTGATGTTTGCTTAAATTTGTAGGCTTGGCAAACCTTATTTCTGACAAACCCCACTACTCATTTCTTGGTCAATATACATTGTATGCAAAGCACATTTTGTTTACCAATAATATTTAAATATCTTTTGGTTGCTGTTACTACATAACTGAGATCTAAAAAGTTATGATTAGCCAATAGTTTCCATAAAATACCTGTATAGCATTACCAAATGTCCTAAAGACTTTTCACTCTCAGTCCCTCCTAATTTCTGGTAAGTGAGAGGTGTAGTCTGAAGTAAAACATTGCTATATAGACCCCTTCCTAGTATTGTCACAGGGCATCCTCATGTGCACAGAAACATGTATATACCATGGAAGTCACAATCTGGTTCAATATACCGTTTTTTTTTTATCATATTATCTACTTCTAGTTTTTAGTTTCTTTTAAATTGTTTTGAAGATTAATCAGAAAGTTTTATTACACTTTTTGAACACACATTTTGGACTTGTACTAGAATGTATTATCATGTTACAAGATCGATCCTATGTCCAGTACTTTCCATTATGGCCATCAGATTTCTGTTGTGTGCAAGGGGTCTACACCTGTTTGTATAGGTGCTCATTGATTAAGTAGACTGTGTGTGACACAGTAATCCAGGCAGACTTAACAGTGACACCCATTGTTCTACAATCAATTACTATGACCTCTTTATCACAGGATAGCTCACCACACAGTGTGCTCTGTTGATACTTTGTCCCAGAGTGTGTTTTTGTCATTATTTATGGGGACATATCATCAGAAATGGCTTCGGGATGTTGACAGGTTGGGGGGGGGGGAGGATTTGTGAAGTCACTGTATGTTGAAAGGAGAGAGACTGGGGGTGATTTGTAAAGTTACTGTATGTTGATAGCCAAGTTATAAGCTATGGGGTCGGGGTACCAAGTTATAAGCTATGGGGTTGGGGAACCAAGTTACAAGCT